TATATATATATATATATATACACACACAACCATCTTTAAACACCTGGGGGAGCCCTCAGGGCAAGTTTTAAAACTTAGTTTCAGGTATTCAGACAAATAAATTTTTTATTCATACATTTTTATTGTCCAGTGTTTGAAAACAATACCAGAACCAAATGAGACCAATCAAACATTGCACCATTACAGAAATCTCCTTCATTCATCGTCTTCGTATAGCAGCCTCATGCTCAAATAATGCTAGAGCAGGATGTCCAATCCTGATCCTGGAGGACCACTTTCCTGCAGTTTAGCACCAGCACGCTTGAAAGACCAGTGATGCAGAACACCTGGCTTCAGGCACGTTTATCTGGGGCTAGAGCTAAACTGCTGAAGGTGGCACTGCAGAAACAGGAACGGACACCTCCTGAACAGTGCATTCAGAGCCTCTTCATTTTTCACATTTTGTTGCAGCCTTATGCTAAAATCCCTGATATTTTCATGTCAATCTACATGCCATTCCCATGACGACAAAGCAGCAATCCTACATGAAAACTTTTGCATTTTAGGAAAGTGGCTCTCCAGGAACACAAAACAACCCTGTTATAGGAATTTCCACTAAAGGAAGTGGGCTAAGTTTATAATTGTAGATTTTATATATTTGTAACAACGTACAATACATTTTTAAAAATGTAAACTTAACAGTGAGCACCGAGCACTTTTAACATTAAAAAAGGGCAGGAACAGAACTTGATTTCTGAAGATCTTCGCACATCTTTCCTACAACAACAGAAAGAGGTGTCAAACAAATGACGTTCAACAGTAAATTGTAGTGAAATTAAAGTAAATAAAGTGTAGCAGGCTTCTTTGTCAGATTTTTGCAGACCGTCTCAACAAAAATCAGTGCCAACCCTGCATTTGCTATTCCAAGATTAAAAGACATCACAGAGAAACGCTTCTGCTATGATGGTATCAACTTGGATCACGACACTGAAGTTATGATTAAAGCTTACCCACAATAGGATGATCTCGATGGACCTTTCAAATTTCCCCCTCATTTACCTCCTCCTGTAAAGTCAGTAATTTAACAATCAGGTCAAAGTAATGTGACCAATATCAACCAACATGAAATAGCAGTAACAACCCATTTTACTTGCCTAATGTGACACGATTAGCAAAAAAAACTGCATGTGGTTGACTGGGACAATAAATGGCTCATGAAATGGATGAATTTATTCATGAAAGGTTAAATTTAGTGATGTCAGCAAAAAAAAGCAGGTTTAAGAAAAATTGAAAAGTTCAACTTTTTAGATATCACATGCACTGATGCACGGTGCATGGTAAGACATTAAGGGGGGGAAAAAAGTCCAAACTATTCTTACCTTTCAGCAAAACTGGCCATTGGGATCAAGGCATTTTGGGGTCTTGTGTGACCTGCAACAACAATCGTAGTAAGAAACTGAAGCCTGCAACGACAAGAAACACATCTGACTTGAGTGTTCGCCCCCAGACTAGGCCTGCCTCGCTGTGTGAGCTCAGACCACTCTCGGAGGACACGGCTGGACCCGTGCTGCACAGCAGGCTTCACTAAAACAGCCAAACCTGCTGGAGCACACACGCCAGCACCTTCCTCTTCCAGCAGAGTAACACTCGCTCAGGCACGGGCTGGCCTGCACAGCTGACTACCGCTGGGTGACCGAAACAGAGAGAAACCTCATACTTACAGCGGAGCTACAGCAGCTGGAGTAGATTCAGACCACATTCAGCCCCTAAAACAAGAGACCAGCGCATATAAACACTGCTACAGCGGCGGCAGGGCCGTTCGTATAATCTCACGTTACATACAGGCACTTCACTACAAATATCAAGAACACGTTCCTGACATGGACCACGGGATTAGAGTGACTTGTCTGTTTTAAAGTGGTTTTATTTCTGCAGCAACAACAACCAAAATGCCAAGGAAACAGCCGCGTGCCGCACGAGCTAGCATCAAACATGTCGAAGCAGACGTCTTCGGATTGATTTGGACCAGGTTGAAACACTTATTCTACAAACTGTACGCAACAATTTGTTATTTTAGCTAAACTTACCCCCTTGTGACCGCCTGACTTTCTCAGTTTTGTACGCTTTAGCGCACTTCCACCGCAACATCGCAATAATAAGAGCGAGCGCACTCTAGCGCGCCAGCATTTATAGCGCTGCCGCAAACCAGCGAAGAAGAGTGAGCACATGTGACGTCTAATTCACGAACGAATCACTCTTATGAACTGAATCTTTTCGATGACTCGTTCGAATCGATTCGCAAAGCGTTTGTTGCTCTCTCCGCTCATCCCTTGTGACCTAAGTTGGTTCTTCGCCTTCGCAAGCTGCCTAAAAAAATATATATAATAATAAGAAGAACCTCTCTAAATTACAGGCTAGACCATCTGTTTTCCTGTCTGCATTACAGTATTTGATTCGCCGCCTAATGTCAATGTTGGGATAAACGGCTGCCTGCAGCTGCTGATCTACGATCAGTTTCCATAATCAAACGTTTAATTATAATAAAATGTCAAAATCTGACTCTAGATCAGAGACTGTGGACAGCTGTATGGAAAAATCTGCTTTGCTCATTTCCATGGATTTACTTCCAGACAGTTATTAGATGGCAAAAACCTGTATAATATCTTTAAACGTTACTGCCATGCCGTAATGACGTTATAGTTTAAATGATACCACTTAATGTAATGTGAATAGATCATGCATTAAAATAACTCAGAAAGGAGCACAAACCTAGTGACTGATTCAGTCCACTAAACCTTCCTTTGACTATTATTCTGAGACATGTTTTGCACTTTCAGCTTCTGTAATTTAGCATCACCTCAAGTGAGATTTGAATGGAATTATCAAGTTTTTATTATTTTTAGTATTTTTTTTTATTTTGTACTCTTTAAAAAAGGACACATATGCATATGGCTCCATGTGATGTCAACACTATAAGGGTGATTCAAGGACAATAATCTAGGACAGTTCACTTTGAAATCTGGGACACTGATTTATTGAAGCCTGAGTCACCAGAGTTTTTGCAATGAATGAATGACAGAGAGGACAAAAGGGAGAAATGCAGAGAGAGAGAGAATGTGTGTGTGTAAAAATGTCTTCTTGGCAGTTCAATTTAATAGTCAAGAAAGAGATGAATATAAAGACTAAATTAATGAATAGGGAGAAAAAAGTATATAATGTACAGTAGTATGTAGGCCTATACCAGGGGTAGGCAAGTTCGGTCCTAGAGAGCCACAGTCCTGCAGAGTTCAGCCCCAACCCTAATCAAACACACCTGAACAAGCTAATCAATGTCTTCAGGATTACTAAGGCTATAGGCAGGTGAGTTTTGTTTTTCAGGGTTGGAGCTGAACTCTGCAGGACTGCGGCTCTCTAGGACCGAACTTGCCTACCCCTGGCCTATACTATACAAAGTATGCAAGTTAAGTAACAAAATAATACCTAAATGACCTATTATTAAAATGTACAGTATACAACACAGTACAGTGGGTGCAATACTGTATCCCACAATGCAGTGCACATAACTTAACCTTCCATATTCCAGAAAACCATGCAGGTTGTCACAGTAATGTGACTGCTATCAGTCACCATGAAATGACATTTTACTTTTTTGAGTCACACACACTGAGCAAAAAAATATTTGTGATGACATGAGTGAATACTTAATTGTTTGCATAATGCAAGTACATCTTATATATCATTAATAAATTGTATTTGAGTTCAGAGAGGTCTAACGCCTCTAACGGGCCTATTATGTTTCGACTTTTCCAGCAGTTTCATTGGATTTCCCACAGAAAAAAGATGTCATTGACAGAGATTGATTAAACCAGCAGTGCACATGTGTGCACACGGATAGGATACACAGACAGACAGCAGTGGTTTATTGCCTTTCCCAAGAGTTCTGGCGTCATTATGTCCTATAAAAGGATCGTTCCCACTGAGACCCCAAGTCTAGCATCTTTTCCTTTCCCGTCTCCCACTGTTCAGCTGGGGATTCTTGACCATGTCTGAAGCATCACCATGGCAACAGTTACAAGTTGGGAGTGACTGTGTCAAGAGAAGGGGATGAGAGTTCAGGGGCCTTGGAGTGCAACCGAGGGCCACAAAACAATGAGCTGTTAATGAGGACTGGAAAATAGGAAGTTTCAGGACTTTCTGGTTCATTTGCCAACTCTGACCTTATCATTTTGGCATAAGTCATTGATAGAGTGAGAACAATAAAGGCTATCCAAAAGAACCTACACTGTAGCTCCCCTATTACCACCACCACTAAACTTCACAACATTTGCATTTTATATGTCCTTTCATCCCAATTGCATTCTCCTGCTATATATGATCATGTTTAGTAGCTTAAAGGTGCTCAAAGTAATCTTCTCGACCTGTGTTCATTTTACAACTGAAGAAATTAATGATGCTTTAGACAAGTCTGTTAGAAGTCTGTTTAAAATGTTCACTCACATAAGATGGAGCCTTTAGTCAAATCCATGGTTTAGCTGTTTGTTGTACTTAAGAGATGTGTTCATAACCTAAGGTCGAAAATCTGTCCAGACGAAGGCATCTCTGTAGATCGAATGGAACACATACTGTATATTACATTGGTGTTTTTACCCTCTGTAGGTTAGGTTAAGTTAGGTTACTTTATTTATACCCGCAGGTGAATTTGTTTTGCAGTAAAATGACAGTGACTTCCATCCTTGACACACAATTTCAAAACACATTCAGAAACATAATATAAACAACAAAATCACAAAAACAACATGTATGTTACCTGTGATGGCAGCATTTTTCAGGTTTTGGACACAGACAAGGGTGCCCTATGCCCTATGATGATGGACAAGACCACAGGAACCAGAGGAGTCCTCTGCACAATGTGACTTTGCTGCAGCCTGGAATGGAACTGCTGGTTTCGTCTGGTCAGAGGAGAACTGGCCCCCCGACTGAGCCTGGTTTCTCCCAAGGTTTTTTCTCCATTCTGTCACCGATGGAGTTTTGGTTCCTTGCCGCTGTCGCCTCTGGCTTGCTTAGTTGGGGACACTTCATTTCCAGCGATATCGTCGACTTGATTGCAAATGATTGCAAAGATACTATTTAAACTGTACTGAGCTGGATGATGACATCACTGAATTCAATGATGAACTGCCTTTAACTGAAAAATGAGTGTTTACTATTGTCACTTTGCATTATTGACACACTATTTTCCTAATTAATACTGTAAAGTTGCTTTGACACAATCTGTATTGTTAAAAGCAGTATATAAATAAAGGTGACGTGACTTGATGTAGCTGCCATTTGGAGATCACATGAGATCGTATCATTGGACAATTTCAGTCACTGAATAAATGAATAATGTGTGACAAACTTGCCAATAGGGTATTTCTGCAATAGTACTGATAATGAACAATGTTCAGCAAAAATGCTTCATTCGTAATCACAGGCATTTTGGGGGGTAACGCATTACAAGTAACGCGAGTTACGTAATCAGATTACTTTTTTTTCAAGTAACTAGTAATGCACTACTTAATTTACAAGAAAATATCTGAGTTACTTTTTTAAATAAGTAACAATTAATTTGTTTTCCTATTTATTGACTGACAGCTCTGCTGTCCCCACGTTGAGAGAAATTGGGAATAAATGCAGAAGTGTTGTGTGAACGTGATGCTTTCTGTAATTCTAGACTAAATGTGAACATGCATTTACTCATCTCACTCGCACAGAAACAGATTCAGTATTCCTCAGAATGAATAAAAACTGTGAAATTCAAACTCAGAATATGACGCAAACCTGCAATAATTAAATATGTTAAATACAAATTTCCTTTAATCCCATTAACCAGTATCTTTGCTGCTGACCTTCGATGATCTAATTCAACCATATAATGAGCAAAAATGACTTTAGGTAAACAACATTTGTGTTTCATTTCTTTTTTTTTTTAACTGCTGAAGAGTGTTGAACTTTCTTCTCTTATGTCCTATTCTTCATGCAACCCAGAATGGCAGCACAGCTGAAAGGTTTGTTCGAGCTGCACCCTCTACAGATATTACATTACATTTCTTTCAGCCTGAGGCTCATTCATTTCACTTTTGGTACGAAAGGGCTTTTAAAGTGACGTGTAGCCAAGTATGGTGTCCCATACTCGGAATTTGTGCTCTGCATTTAACCAATCCAAGTGCACACACACACAGCAGTGAGTAGTGAACACGAAAACACACACACACACACACACACACACACACACAGACACAGACACAGACACAGACACACACACACAC